AATCCTTTCACCTTCTTTCATCTTTTTATAAAAGGAGTTTCTATACTCAAGAGAAGCTCAAATTTTCATGGTCCTAAAACCAGCCATTGCCTCGTGGATAGGATACTGTATTTTAAAATATGTTTCATAGGACTTAAGTATAGGTCCATAAATTCATTTACTAAGTGCATGTTATTTAGAATATGATCATTCTTGAACATCTTTTTCCATCAACTTCCATGGAGATTCAATCCATTATCTTGTGCTATTGATTTTACCAAATGTATCTTAAATTTGTCATCTTTTCCTCTTATCTACATCTTCCATTCTAATTTAATGTACCATTATCTTTAAACTGGGCTGCTACAATGGACTCCTAAAAGGTTTCTCTTCAATCCATCCTCTGTATCAGGACAGCAATGATTTCTTTTTTAAATGCAAATTTGGTCATGTTACTCTTCTACTTAAAATATTCCTGTAACTTCCCATTGTGATATAGACTGAACATTGCAACATGGTCCACGTGGCTTTCATGGCAGATTCTTGGCTATATTTTGCATCACAAAAACCTTTGCTTTTTAAGGTTCAGAACCACTGACCTTTGGTAAGGTCTTCAAACACATCATAATTCCTCCTATCAGAGTCCTTGGATGCCTCCTTTCCTCGCCTGCTCATTCTAGCCGCTCACTCTTAACCTTTATATCCCACTTAACATATCACTTTATCTGACCTTTTAGATGGTATCACACTCCCCATTATGTGCTCTCATACCACTTCCTAGCACACACATAATTTGCAGTTTCCACATTTACTTTGTGATGATATGTTGTACGTCATGTCCTATAAAATGTAAGATCCAGGAGATCAGCAATAGTGTGTTTTTCTAATTAGTGTATCCCAAAAACTTAAAACAGTGCTTTGAATATTATAAATTTTCTATGTATATCAATTGAATGAATGAGTGGTTTTATCTAACAATGAATTTTAGAATATCTAGAAAAATCCTAAATCACTCAAAGGCACCTAGCACAGAGTTTGAGCCTATTATACCCAGAAAAAGATTGCAAGGTCAAATATTCTTTGTTCTCAATTAAGTTCAAGTCCAGGATCTTTTCATAGTAGCCAAGAAAATTTGATTTTGCACAAATTGAGAATATCAATGATGTCATATCTGGATAAAAACCATTCCCACTCTTACTAGATGTGGCTGTACTTTTCCCTAAAAAGCAATTTTGAGAATATTTCTATTGATTTGAAAGTTCCCCATTCAATCTACTCTGTTGCTCCTTAAACTAACCCATTCATCAGTAATTCCTCAATGATTCTAAGGAAATTAAGCCATAGTTTGATGCCCAGAGAATCTATTCCCATCTCCATTCTCAAATGTGTGTATCCTAAGGGAAGGTGATAAGTAATAGTTTGTACAAAGAATAATTGTGATATGATATATAATGCTAAATATGTTAAAAGCCAGAGCAAAAGCAAAGGTAAAATTTGTCCCAGATTTATCACCCACAGTTGTGTCAAGGCAAGGCAAGGCTGAAAGATTCAGCCAGTAAAGAAACAATGAACATCATTTTTTACTTAGTTCTTTATTTACATAAACAGTGAAAGCAAATGTAATCAGAGGAGCACAGCCGGCATGGCTCAGTGGTTGAGCGATGAACCAGGAGGTCATTGGTTCGATTCCCTGTCAGGGCACACGCTTAGGTTGTGGGCTCCATTCCCAGTAGGGGGCGTGCAGGAGGCAGCCGATCAATGACTCTCTCTCATTATTGATGTTTCTATCTCTCTTTCTCCTTTCCCCTCTCTGAAATCAATAAAAACATATTTTTAAAAAAAGTAATCAGAGGAGCTAGATCCCCCCGTCCCTTGTGTAGTGCAACACCAAAACAAAAGGGGCCAGATGACAGCACTGTGTCCAGTAAGACATCCTGTTGCTGACAGTTTCATGCTGCAACTAAGTACTTTTATGACCTGTAACTCTACCCTGAAGGGGGCTAGGTAGCAAGTCTGAGACCTCATCAGACATTTTCTGGTGATAGCCTCTCAGGGAAGATCGGGAGGCAAGTGAGAAATGTTCTTGTGGCAGCACTTCATGAGCCTCCATGCTGTTATGTTACAGGAAGATCATAGAATTTTCTGCCAAGACTTAACATCCACTTCAGTTAAGCCTTACATACGTGGCCTGGTGTTGTCATGCAGGGTTGCCAGGATGCCATGGATTGGTCATTTCTGTGCAGAGAGTGAAGTGAAGTCTTTAAGCCATAGACTGTTTACCTTTTTACTATGTTTTAGACTAGGAAGTTGAGGATGAAAGGCTATGGAAGTGTTTTCTTTACTCCTTTTAATTATGTATATCTTGCAAATAAAAGTCATGTTATTTATATACCATTAGTTTCATTTGAGATTTGAATTTTTTCAACCACAGTTTTAAGTATTTTTTGAATTCTTAGTCTTTCTCATTTTTTTCTCCATGTGACCATAAACCAGTGATAGGATTAAAAATTTGCCTAAACAGCACAGAATGCCCTATGAAATTCGCACACAAAAATATATGATTTTCTTTGGCTGCCTGTTAGAAAATCCAATATATGGTAGATTATACATACGTTTGGAAGTTAACTTTAGATTTAATGGACTGGATCAAGATGTTTTCTTTTTTAATTAATTAATTTTCCAGTTGTAGTTAACATACAATGTTGTTAGTTTCAGGGATACAACATAGTAGTTAGACATTTATATAACTTACAAAGTAATCACCCCAATAAGTCTAGTACCCATCTGACACCACACATACTTATTACAATATTATTGAGTCTATTCCCTGTGTTGTACTTTATATCCCTGTGATTGTTTTTGTAACTGGCAATTTGTACTTAATTTCTTTCACCTTTTCACCCAGTCCTCCAATCCCCCTCCTATCTGTTGACCATCAATTTGTTCTCTGTATCTATGAGATTGTTCCTGGGTGTGTGTTTTTTGTTTGTTTGTTTGTTTATTTTAGATTCCAGAAGTAAGTGAAACTATATGGCATTTGTCTTTCTCTGACTTTTTAAAATATATATATATATATCTTTATTGATTACAGAAAGAGGAAGGGAGAGGGAGAGAGAGAGATAGAAACATCAATGATGAGCCATTGATCGGCTGCCTCCTGCACGCCCCCTGCTGGGGATCGAGCCCACAACCCAGGCATCTGCCCTGACCGGGAATTGAACCACAATCGCCTGGATCCTAAGTCAACGCTCAACCGCTGAGCTACACCCGGCCGAGCTCTTTGACTTATTTCACTTAGCATAATATCCTCTAGATCCATCCATGTTGTCTCAAATACTAATATTTCATCCTTTTTTTTTATCGCAACTCCTTTTTATCCATTAGTCTATCAATGGGACACTTAGATTGCTTTTATATCTTGGCTATTGTACATAATGCTGCAACGAACATAGAAGGACATATATCTTCTTTAATTAGTGTTTTGGATTTCTTCAGTTAAATACACAGAAGTGTAATTTCTGGGTCATGTGGTAGTTCTATTTTTAATTTTGTGAGGAACCTCCATACTGTTTTTCATAGTGGCTGCACCAGTTTGAAATCCCACCAACGGTAAACAAGGGTTCCCTTTTCTCTACATCCTCATTAGCACTTGTTATTTGTTGATTTATTGATGGCAGCCATTCTGACAAGTGATATCTCATTGTGGTTTTAATTTGCATTTCCCTGATGCTTAGTGATGTTGAGCATCTCTTCATATGTCTGTGGATAAGGGGTTTATATCAAAATATATAAGGCACTCATGCAACTCAACAACAAAACCCCCCAAATAATCTGATGAAAAAATGGGCAGAGGACCTGAATAGATACTTCTCCAAAGAGGACACACAGATGGGTCAAGATGTTTTAACTGATGACAATAACTAGATTGGAGGCTTCCTGAGATCTGTAATAATCTTGAATTTTATTGTAGAAGTAAGTATATTGCAGAGTGTAGGCACAGGGCACATGGTCTACACTGAAGAGATGGTTGTTAATTGTCTTTTTTCAATAACATTTTTTTAATCTTTTATTAAATAGAGATGAAGTCCATATCACTCTGAAATTCACCAGTCGCTTCCTCTATCCTGCTGAAGCTTCATTGGTATTAATTTCAATACCTAAGAATGGAGTGAAAGGCACCACAATGATTTTTGCTCTTAAGGGTGAAGTCCGCAAATTTAAACCCATGGTAGGTAAATTTTACCGCTTTTGTATGTCTTTGCTTCTCTTCTCAGGCTGTGGAGTATCCCAAGCATAGCTGTTCTTCCGAGTTTTACCTCCTGGCAGCTCTTATTCCTTGAGATCCTGTGTGTGTGTAGTTACATTTGCACAAATTTTGGCCTCTGTGCCTCTGATATTCTTACTATGATACTCTTTCAGTGGAAATAAGTCTCTAGTTTCACAAAAGAATTTGAAAGGATTTGTGTTGAGTGTTATTTTAAGGTCAGATTTTTAGGATAACTGTACATTTGTGCTATTCACGGAGGCATTCACTGTACTCATAGCAACTTTCATACCCTCTGCCATGGAGACTTGTGATTTAAGTGAAAGCAGCCCCTGGGCCTGTGTCTGCTTTTATTTGAGTTAAGGGTTGGTGATTTACACAGCAAAGAAAATGTTTCTCTTCTCCAGTTAGAACATTCTTCAATTTATCTTGAGTGTCCTGTGGATCAAAGCTGTTATAAAGATAATGCTAAGGCTGGCATTTATTGAGAGGTGATGATGTTCCAGAGTTCTGTTTTATCTCAAAAAATGAGGGAGAAGGACTTGAAAAATTTTTATAAAATGCTGTGACATTGCTATGATTGACTTTTTGTAGTCAGTATTTTGGCTAAATATATTGTTCTACCGCGGACATATGGCAAGGAAGTACAGTGGTACCTGGGTTTTTGAATGCGATCCGTTCTGGGAGCCCGTTCGAGTTCTGAAATGTTCGAAAACCGGGGGATCCGCAGCCGACAGCTGGGCCTCAGGATCCTGCCCTCAGCGGGAGCCGCGGGGCATGTTGAACTTCTGAGGCGGGTTCGAAAACCGAAGCATTTCCTTAGGGGTTTAAAGCATTCGTAACCCGAGATGTACGTCCACGGAGACGTTTGGAAACCGAGGTAGCACTGTAAGTTTGTATGTGGCCAGATTTCCGTATGGAGTATAAAGAATTTTAGGTGTGCGGTGGCATGAGTAGGAATTGAGTAGAATGACTGTAGTGATGGTCAGCTTTGTAAGGAGGGCAGTAAGCGGTTCCCATGGCAGGCCGGCTTATTAGCTAGTGACGCCCAGAGCAGGCAGCAGGCATGTGATCGACATCGAGATGTGTGTTACAACCTTCAGATCTTCTCTGGAGGAATGAACTCTTACGCTTCCCAGTCCTTTCACCAAATTCTCTGAAACAAAACAGTGCTTTGCCATATGTATCTAAGAGACATGGGTGGGTTTAGCCTGCTGTTAACATGGCTCTGGGGAAGAAAAGCTGACACTTGAAGCTCATGTGGTCTCTGTTTACGGCTCCATCTGACTACTCGCGGTCTTTGTCACCAGGAGGTAGAGTGGGTAACAGTGGAGAAATCAAAGAAGATAAGAGCATGATCAGTCTGAAATGTAGGATTCTTAGAATCTTTTCCTCTTTGGAAATTCATTGGTTAATTTGAATTTTAAATTTTATATTTGTGCTTTTATTACAGTAAAAATATGTCAGTATAGCCACCGTATTATAAACACAGGCATGCCACACTCACACACACCTACACACAGGTAGATATTCATACACTCACACAGCTGTGTGCATACACACACACACTCACTCACCCCTGCCTATCCTTTATGTCATGTTATTAGGTGTATATTATAATTAATTAATTTTCAAATGTGAAATGCTCAGTCATTAATAAAAATATTTTAAGGAAATCCATTTGGGAGATACTATTGTGACAGTTCAGTTGTTAGCAAAAGAACTATGGATCAGTGATGAAGTAAAATATGAAATATGTTTTTATGTCTCCCTACTTAGATTTTTGCAGTACAATGTTTCTGGGAAAAGGGGAATTATATAAATTAATATCATAATATTTAAATGAGCAAGTTTTTAGATACTCCAAGCTTTTATTTTATAATTCAGGTTATCCTTTTTTTGTTCTTACCATTTAATATGTCTTTATTTACTTTTTTCCTTAGAAAGTTGTAAAATGCAAAAGCCCATGTTATAAATGGAAAGAAATCACTGTGGATATTAAAAATCCCTTCCGTACTGCTGGCGACTTCAGGTAAGTTATTGTTTTGATGTTTTGAAGTAAATTCATTACAGTTAGCCATATCCAATCTTAATGGAAATATGTAATTTTCTTTGACATGAACTATTTTGAGAAATTTTTTGTATTTACATTGCTAGAAATTTATAAGCATTATCAGATAAAATAGAACAACTAATGAAAGTAAATCAATTTTCCTTGAAATGTTATTTGATCTGTATAAAATTAAGACTCATCATATAAAGTTTATGAATTTTGTGTATAAGCTTTCTATTTGTTGAGATTTACTCTTCTTTTAGTTTTAAAAATTTATAATTAACAGACTTTTTATTTCTAATTTTATTTCTCCTGTTAATTTCCATAAGTGAAATATCTATTCAAACAGAGAATTCATTTTTACTTAAGGCATCATTATTGGTTAAAACTGCACATTGCCCTAGCTGGTTTGGCTCAGTGGTCGGAGCATCGGCCCACCATCTGAAGGGTCCCAGGCTCAATCCCTGGCCCTGGTTGGGGCAAGTGTGGGAGCAACCAATCGATGCGTCTCTCTCACATCGATGTTTCTCTCTCTCTCCTTCCTCTCTCCCCCCATCTCCCTTCCACTGTCTCTAAAAAGCAATGGAAAAAATATCCTCGGGTGAAGACTGAAAAAACACACACCAAAAAACACTGCACATTAAGTGTGCATTTGTTCATCTTGAGATTTAACAACAATAGCAACAACATAGATTTGAGATGGAAGTACAACAGAATACTTAATTATTGTTTAAGTTCACAGTGGAAAAATACCTTGCTATATATTTCCATGTTGTGGGAGTAGATGGACAATGTACTGCTTAAATTACAAACTCTCTTTCCACCAGCTTTAGAAATCAGAGCCTCATAACAATACTTGTGTTGAGACCGTAAGTTGTATGTATGCCTTTTAATGTTTGATAATTTTCAGTTTTTAAAAATCACTGTATGTCTAGGCTTTTGGAAGTTTCTTACTAACAATATCATTTATTGTTGACAAAGCAAAATCTCTTTTGTTTATCAGTTATTGGTGAATGTATGGTTCCCAAGTTCACTGAGGGAGAATTTTATTTACTATATTAAAGTGTTACATCGGAATGTAAGGAACAAAAAAATCTCAGAAAGTGTTACTTTAATCCAGTATCAGAATGTGCCCTTAAATGAACCAAATGACTGACTGCATTTCTTCAGAGGAAATCAAGATCAAACATATTTAGCCTTGCATTCTAGTGGTAGAGCTGAAAGAAAATCTCAGAGTTCCAGGAATTGGTAGAATATTATAGTTGCATGTTTCTCAAAAAAATCATAATATTTTATTGTTACTTTATGGTTATCTCAGATCACATTAAAATTGTTACTTCTTGTGCAAGGGGCATGGTTTGTTAGAGAACAAAATTCTTAATTGGGGTAATTTGACTCCTCTTGTATGAATGTGGGTCTTAAACTTAAGCAAAATTTTAAAACTCAAAATTTAAAAACCAGTCATAACATTTGTGAAATCAATATTTTTATAGTAGGCATATATTACTTAAAAATTTTTTAAATAATAAAATAGGTAAGAAGGAAATTTAATGACAATTAATTCATATAGAGACTTTCTGTTATAAACACTATAACAATAAAATGACATAATTTAAAATATTACACTTACAAAATGATCAAGATTTCGTTCTTATTAATAATCTCATATTAAGTGTATTTTAAAATAAAATAAAAATTTCCACGTTTTCCCGAAAATTATATGTAGCACAGTGACCAGATTTCATCATTTTTTAAATCAAAATTTAACATTACTTGTAACAAAAAAGTTAACCCAGTCTAGATTTAGCAGAGACAGGATTATTTCCCATGCCTCTATCTACTAGATCAATGGTTCCCAAATTCTTTTCCAGAATGTAACATCCCTTGTAATGCTTTTTTTTTTTTTTAAAACATGTTGTGAGGTTGGGTTTGTTGGTATCTTGCATTTATAATCAAAGGATTTAATAGTGTAATTCCCTTTTCTTGTGATGTCTTTACCTGTTTTTTGTATCATTAATATTTGTCTTGGGGAATGATTTGGGAAATGGTCCTCTCTTTCTATTTTTGGAAGAGTTTATGAAGGATTGGTATTCTTTTAACATTTGGTAGAATTTACAGCTGAAGTGATCTGGGCCTGAGCTTTGCTTTGTGGGAAGTTTATTTCATTACCAATTCCATCTCTTTACTTGTTATGGTCCTAATCAAATTTCCTATTTCTTCTTGAATCAGTTTTGGTAGTTTGTGCCATTTTAGGAATTTGTGCATTTACTCTAAATTAACTAATTCATTGGCACAAAAATTTTCATAGTATTCCTTTGTAATCCGTTTTTTTCCTGAAAAGTCAGTAGTGATGGCCCTGCTTTTTCCCTTTATTTTAGTAATTCGATTCTTCTCTCCTTTATTTTTAATGAGCCTAAATAAAGGTTTGTCAATATAATCTATCTTTTCAAAGAACCTTCTTCTGGTTTTCTTGATATTCTCTATTTTTCTTTATCTTTATTGAGGTCTAATTGATATACAAAAAACCTGCACTTGCTTAATGTATTCAATATGAGTGTGGCCATATGCATATAACTGTGATACTATCATCACAATCAAGGTAATAAACATATACCCATCACTTCCAAAAGTTTCTTTGTGGGTTTGTGGGGGTGGGGTGGGGGGTGCAGTAAGAATGCTTAACATGAGGTTTACTCTCTTAGCAAATGTCTAAGTGCGCAGTGCTGTTTTCAACGATCGACACGATGCCGTGTGACATAGCTCCGGCACTTACTTATCTTGCATAATGAACTTTGTACAAGTCCCCATTTCACCCTCCTCCCCTCCCCTGTTAACTACCCTTCTATTTTCTGCTTTATGAGCTTGACTATTTTAGATTCCTCATATAAGTGGAATCAGACAGTATTTGTCCTTCTGAGACTGGCTTCGTTTAGTCCCCAAGGTTCGTCCACGTTGTCAGGTGCTGCAGGGTTTTCTTCTTTCCTAAGGATGTATGATGCGCACACACCACCACATTTCCTTTATGCATTCACCTGTTAATGGACATTTGGATTGTTTGGATTGTTTGCATATCTTGGCTATTGTGAATAATGCTGTAGTGAACTTGAGAATGAAGATATCTCATTGAGATCCTGGTTTCAGTTCCTTTGGATAAATAACCCAGAAGTCAGATTGCTGTGTCTTAGGGCAGTTTCTGAGGAACCTCCATGCTCTTTTCCATAATGGGTGTACCAATTTGCATTCCTACCAACAGCATACCGGTGTTCTCCTTTCTTCATATATTCACCAACCTTTATTATCTCTTATTCTTTTGATAATAGTTATCCTAACAGGTACGAGGTGATATTTAATTATGGTTTTGATTTGCATTTCTTTGATGATTAGGGATGTAGAGTAATACCTTTTTATATATCTGTTGGTAATCTGTATGTCTTCTTTGGAGAAATATCTATTCAAGTTCTCTTTCCATTTTTAATTGTATTATTTGTTTTGTTTTGTTTTTAATTATGAAACTATAGGAGTTTCTTATGTATTTTAGACATTAACCCCTTAACAGATAATGGTTTAAAAATCCTTCTCCCATTCTATTGGTTGCCTTTTCACTCTCTTGATTGTTTTCTTTGTTGTGCAGAGCTTTTAAAATTTTTTTTTAATATACCTTTACTGATTTCAGAGAGAGGGAGGGAGACAGAGAGAGAGAGATAGAAACATCAACGATGAGAGAGTCGTCATTGATTGGCCACCTCCTTCATGCCCTCAATTGGGGATCTAGCCTGCAACCCGGACATGTGCCCTGACCGGGAATCGAACCGTAGTCTCCTGGATCCTAGGTTGATGTTCAACCACTACTAAGCCACGCCTGGTCGGGCCAGAAGCTTTTTAATCTGATGTAGTCCTACTTGTCTATTTTTGCTTTTGTTCCCTGTTGTTTTGGTGTCATATTCAAGAAGGTATTCCTAAGATCGATGTCAAGAATCTTTTTCTATATGTTTACTTCTAGGAGATTTACAACTTCACGTATACAATGTAAATCTTCAGTTCATTTTGAGTTGATTTTTGTGTATGTGTAACATAAGAGTCTGATTTCATTCTTTTGCATGGACTTAACCTGTTTTCCCAACATCGCTCATTTAAGGGGCTATCCTTTTCTATTGTGTATTCTCGGCTCCCTTGTTGAGGATTACGTGACAGTTTATTTCTGGAGTTTCTATTCTTCATGTTCTATGTGGCTGTTTTTATACCAGTACCACACTGTTTTAATTACTGTAGTTTTGCAATATATTTTGAAATCAGGACAGGTAATGCCTTCATCTTTGTTCTTCTTTCTCAAGATCACTTTGGCTGTTCTGGGTCTTTTGTGGTTTAATGTCAATTTTAGGATTGTTTTTTCTATATGTGTAATGAACACAGAATGCCTTCTCATTTTCTGTATGTCTTTTAAAATTTCTAACATCCGTGTATTGCAGTTTTTGGTTTACAAGTCTTACTTTCTTGATTCTGTTTATTCCTTACTATTTTATTCTTTTTGATACTGCTGTAAATGCAGTTGTTTTCTTAATTCCTTTTTCAGTTTGTTGGTGGTGTACAGAATGTAAATTTTTTGTGTTGATTTTTGTATTCTGAAGCGCTACTGAATTTGTTTTTTTAGTTCTAATAGGGCTTTTTGGGGTAGGTATTTAGAGTTTTCTATAACCAAGATCATGTCATCAGCAAACAGAGATAATTTTACTTTTTTTCTTTCCCACTTTGATGCCTTTTATTTTTCTTACATAATTGCTCTGGCTAGGAGCATAATTTCTATACTATATTGTACAAAAGTGACGAGAGTGAGCATCTTTGTTTTGTTCCTAATTTTCCAGGAAAAACTTTCAGTTTTCATAATTGAGTGTCATGTTAACTGTGGGCTTGTCATATGTGGGTATTGTTATGTTGAAGTACATTTCTTCTATACCTAATTTGTTGAGAGTTTTTATAATGAGAGAATTTTGAATTTTGTTCAATGCTTCTTCTGCATCTATGGAAACGATTATATGATTTTGATCTTTCAATCTACTGCATTAATGTGGTGTATGATATTTATTGATTTCTACATGTTGAATCATTCTTGCATCCCAGGGATAAATTTCACTTGACATTGGTATATGATCCTTTTAATACACTGTTGAATTTGGTTTGTTTATATTTTGTTGAGGATTTTTTTGCATCAATACTCATCAGGGATATTAGCCTATAATTTTATTTTCTTGTATCTTTTTTCTGGTTTTGCTATCAGGGTAATGCTGATCTTTAAAATGAGTTTGGAAGTGTTTACCACTAAAAATGTCTCTCTTCATTTACAGTTACTTTTTAAAAAAATTCTATCATGTCTGGTATTCGTGTAGCCACTTTAGCTTTCTTGTGGTTGTATATGCATACTATACATTTTTTAAGTTTTTTGCTTTCGGTCTATTTGTATCTTTGAATTTAAAGTGTGTCTCTTGTAGAGAGCATATAATTGGATCTTGTTTTGCATATTTGTTTTTAAATATTGTCTTATAATCACTGCCTTTTGATTAAATTGTTTAATGCATTGACATTTACGTCATTATTGACATAGTTGGATTCACATCTGCCAATTTCCATTTGTTTTTCTATGTACTTCATGTCTATGTTTTGTTCATCTATGCTGCCATGACTGCTTTATTTTACATTAAGTGAATATTTCCTAATACAGCATTTTAATTTTTAATGACATATGAACTGCATTTTTGGAGATTTGTTTAAAATGACAGATTAAAGGAAGTGATACATCTTTTATCAGGAAATATCTTCTGTGGTTGGGAGGAATGTTAGCAGCCATTGATGCCCGATGAGAACATCCATTATTCATTGGGGTTGCAAAATGGTGATATTCCATTTCTATCATTTATGAAATGTATTACTTTGAATATTTTATAAAGAGAACTTCCTATCATCTATTTGTTTATCCAATGGTACAGTTCATATAAGAAAAGTAAAATAAGTATTTAATTCTTTTTCTATTGTTTTATCTTTTGACTCCCTTCACCCATTTCTCCCACCCATCCACCCCCCATCTTTGACAACCACCAACTTGTTCTCTGTATCCATGAGCTGTTGTTTTGTTTTGTTTTATTTAGATTTCATGTATAAGAAAGATCATATAGTATTTGTCTTTCTGTGTCTGACTTATTTCACTTAGCATAATGCCCTCAAGTTCCATCCATATTGTCACAAATGGCAAGATTTCATTCTTTTTTTTCCCCCCGTTTCCTCCCCCCACTGCCCTTTGGCAACCATCAGCTTGCTCTCTACATTTTAGAGTCTGTTTCAGTTTTGTTTTGTTTATTCATTTGTTTTGTTTTTTTAGCTTCCACATATAAGTGAATTAATAAAGTATTTGTCTTTCTCTGTCTGACTTATTTCATCTATCTACAGACACCTAGATTGTTTCCATATTTGGACCACTGTAAATAATGCTGCAATGAACACAGGGGTACAAATATCTTTTGGAATCAGTGTTTTTGTTTTCTTTGGGTAAATACCCTGAAGTGGTATTGCTAGGTCCTATGGCAGCTCTATTTTTAACTTTTTGAGGAGTCTTCATACTGCTTTTTGTAATAGCTGCACCATTTTGCAATCCCACCAACAATGTATGAGGGTTCCCTTTTCTCTACATCCTCATCGGCACTTGTCATTCCTTGATTTTTTTATGAGAGCCATTCTAACAACTGCGAGGTGATATTCCATTGTGATTTTGATTTGCATTTTCCTGATGATTAGTGATGTATCCCTGGCCATCTGTATACCTTCTTTGGAAAAATGTTTATCAGATCTTCTGCCCATATACATTGCTATTGAGTTGTATGAGTTCTTTTAATATTTTGGATATTAGTCCCTTATTAGATATACGATTACAAATATTTTCTCCCATTCTGGAGGCTGCTTTTTCATTTTGTTGTGTGGAAGCTTTTTAATTTAATGTAGTCCCACTTGTTTGTTTTTGCTTTTGTTGTTTCTGCTTTTGGCGTCAGATTAAAAAAATCTTTGCCCAGAACTATGTCAAGGAGCTTACCGTCTATGTTTTCTTAAAGTTTTATGGTTTCAGGTCTTACATTCGAGTATTTCATCCATTTTGAGTTAATTTTTGTGTATGGTGTAAGATAGTGGTCATGTTTTATTGTTTTGTATGTGGTTGTTCAGTTTTCATTTCCCACACCATTTACTTCAGAGACACCTTTCCCCATTGTATGTTCTTGGCTTCTTTGTCTTAAATTAATTGCCCTTATACACGTGGGTTTATTTCTGGGCTCTCTACTCTGTTCCATTGATCTGTGTGTCTGCCTTTATGCCCATACCATACTCTTTAAATTATTTTAGCTTTGTAACACAGTTTGAAATCAGGGAGTGTAATGGTCCCAGCTTTGTTTACCCACCTTGTTTTTCAAACTGCTTTTTTCCCCTTTCTCTTCTTGCTTTCCTTCTGATAATTCCGTTACCCATATGGTGGTGAGTTTAATGCTGTACCATATATATTTGAGACTCTGTTGCTTTTTCTTTATTTTTTTTCTCTCTTCAGATTACATAATCTCTATCAACCTTCATGTTTGTTAATTTTTTCCCCCCTGCCAGTTCAAATCCACTGTGGAACCTCTCTAGTGATTTTTTTCATATATTTTTTTATAGTTTCCTACTCCAGAATTTGCATTTTATTCTTTTATTAATTTCAATCTCTTTTTTATGTTCTCTATTTGATGTTTTTCTGTTCTTTAGAATTAATCATTTTACTCTACCCATTTTCAAGTGCACTGGTTCTTTTACCACCTCAAACCTGTTTTTGAGGCTCTCTAGTGATTTTTCATTTCAGATAATTTACTTTTTAAATACCAAATTTTTAATTGATTATTTTGTATAATTTCTCTTTATTGATATTCTTTATTTAGTGAGACATCATTGTCTCTCATAGGTGGAGTTGAAGATCTTTGACATATTTGGGGGATCTAGCAGCTACTGCAACCCTGCATAGGGGCATCTTGTTCCCCAGATCTTTCTTTTGTGTTTGGGCTGGCTCATATTTGTTCCAACTGGTGTAGCAGCCTCAGATACAAGTGCTACTGATTGTTTTCAGCAAACATTCTGGGGATATATGTTTTCCTTTGAGCTGGGTCAAATAAAGACAACACTGAGTAAATTGAGTTTTTCCAGCTGCAAGCCAGGTTAAACAGTAACCATACTCAGGGGTGGGACTTCTTTGAGGATCTCCAATCTCAGTCTGTTCCTTCATGTGCTTACTCCCAAAAGAAACATTTCTAGTTTTTGGAAATAGAATTAGAAATTATTAAATGTATATAGCTCTAACAATGCATGAAGGCCAATGTGTGATTTCCTCTTTGGTTTTGGAATATAATTTGGATAGTCATTTATAGTCTAAATTTCCTAGCTATGAGAATTCAGTGTTGCCTTTCAATAAAAGAATATTATTTTTTACTTATTTCCATTCCAGATTTCCCCATTCTTTCTAACACATACGTTTTGAGTTGTAGAATGAGAACTTGTGAACTTTTTAAACTGTAATTTATTCTGATCTTAATTATATTTTATGAATGATGGAAAAAATAAAGGAAGAATATTTTGTGGTCATCTGAATTTTGTTATAGTAGAATCCAAAATAATTCTTTTATTTATTTATTTTAGTGCCATTTTGGTGGAATCCTCAACATTTATCTCCTTGACATCGCAATTAAATGCATCTGGACAATTCATTAATTACAGAAACCAAGGGTAAATATCTATACATTTTATGCTAATAATTATCTGAGGAAAAATTTTGAGAAATTTAAGTAAACTTATTATATAATCTCATAACATTTTTCATTTTTTTGAAATATTTAATTTATATTTTATATATAATTTATATTCTTACTTATTCTTTTATGTGGTACAGGTTTATGTGCATGAAAACTGAATAAATATGCATGTGATTAAGTACAGTGGATTCTCATTAATCATGGTAGTTATGCTCTATAAAATTGCCGCAAACATTCAATTAGTGAATACTGAACCATTACTCCTAGGAGAAATATATATCATCACATAGATTATAATCATAAATTATAAAAAGAGCTCGTCCTGATAGATTCCAATTTCTTTACACACAAAAAAATGAGGTTCAGAAGTGTTAAATGACTTGCCTGAGGCTGTGCCACTAACAGGTGCCAAAGAAGGGTGTCGGACCCTGTCCACTTGGCTCCAGGGCTGGAGCTTCTTGCACTTCTGTACTGCCCCCTATGGTCTCCATCCTCTGGTCATCTGTGTATGAGAACTGACGCAAAAAGGCCCAGTGGCACCTTGTTTGACCTCAGCTGGGAACTTGTGTGACCAGTGACTGGAACTTTTTGCCACTCTGCACATGCCTGCAAACAACTGTTAAAGCACCACGAATACAAATCAATTTTAGCAAAGAGATGAATTAAATAATAGAATTCATGGATAATGAGGATTGACTGTATTTAAGCTTATTACATTTACCTTATTGTTTTGTGAGGTCTCTATTTAGTTTAGAAAGAAACCTTGACTTTTGAATAGAGAAGCAGAATTTTTTAAAGTTAGATTGCTTTATATCTCTCATCTGTTAAACTATAGTTGACCCTTCAACAGCCGGATTTGAACTGTGTGGGTCCACTTATACAGATTTTTAAAAATAAATACTGTAAGTGTATTTTGTCTTCCTTATGACTTTTTAAATTACATTTTCTTTTCTATAGCTTACTTTATTGTAAGAATATAGTATATAACACATATAACACACAGAATGTGTGTTAATTTTTTATGTTATTGGTAAGGCTTCTTCTGGTCAATAGGCTCTAGTAGTTGTTTCGCGGGAGTCAAAAGTTACATGTGGATTTTCATCTGCACAGGGTGGGGTTGGCACCCCTAACCCCCATGTTGTTCAAGGGTCAACTTTATAGAATAATTATTTAAAATAAAGTAGAATAAAAACAATGTTGCCAAGATTAATGAAAGTCACACCGAAAGAAAAGAAAGCAGATGTCTATTAATGAAATGCTTGTATCTTTGCCTCTGTGTAATGTTTGAGGGCATCACTGTCATGCTTTTAGATGCATAAATGTCCCAGGAGGCAAGGATTTGGCCATGTTGATACCATAGGAATTCCCAATGTTAAAATCATCAGAAAACTTTAAAGAGATTGTGTGGATCTTGCTTAGATTAAAATGAATATAGATTATTTTTCAAAAGTGAATTGTACTTAAGCCAATAACTTTAGATTATAAGAATTTAATTTATTATGAAGTATTTCATTTCTTCATTAGTTTTTCTGTAAGAAAATTGTTAAAGGAAATTTCATTTTTGCCTTATTGCATTTGTTTTATTGAATGCTGATTTGATGCTTAACTAAGGCATTCAGAGTATTTCTTTCACATTTTGCTGTTGTGAACAATAAAATATGAATTAATACATTAAGCTGTAAGATAACATATTTATAGATATCATAAAAATAGAGTATTGTAAGCATTTTATGTTAATTTTTTTTTGTAGTATGAAATGCTAAAGTATTGCTAAAAAAAACTTCAGTAAACATTTCTCCTAGATTTTAATCTTTTCAGTCCCTTATTGCTTAGAAGCTGTTTTGTGATAACAGATTTTGCCTGAATTGCCTTGAAATAATTTCTTCACATTAATTGCAAGTAATTTATAGTATTACATATTAAACTACAGTCAGATCTCAAAACATTGCCATAGGCATCTGTAAGCACCAGTAACTCAAAGTTGGGTCAGTTCAATGAACAGCAAAACTGAGTCTACTTTCACAGTTTGGAATGCAATATAGGAATTCTGTATTCCAAATTTTAACATGATTTTCCTTCATATAATAGTCTGGAATGGATTTGATTACATCCCAAATTCGAAAATTATTGAAGCCATCCACTCTCAAGCTGCAGGGAAAAACATTTTCTGTTTGTTATGTTTCTCAAATAAAAAACAAAGTGGGATGAACAAGTATGGAAGCATTTATAATTTAATTGTGGAAGGAGAGGAAACTTTGGAAGTACTCATTCAAAATAATTGCCAATTTAGGACGAAGTACCGCTTAACAACTGTGTGTATCATGGTCTCAAACAGTATTGATCATTCTTTCTCATATAGTCTCTTCCATTTGTGTTTATAATACTGTACTTTATTAGCTCTTCTCACAAGCCTTTCCGTGAGAAAGGAAACAAGGATGCAGTGATGCTGGGTGTTGTGTCAGGGAGAACATGACTGTCAAAGATGAACTCAGAGCCATTGGCTTAGAGGATTGAGGACTTACTTTGCACCTATGTGAAGACTGTCTCCCACATCAGAGGCAAGGTTGGGACTTATAAAGGCAAAAGCCACACAGTTTCTCAAAGAGAAGGACTGGTCCTTGGGTCATTTCAGAATTGGCATGGGCTGAATGCTGAGCCCTAAGTCCATATGTTGAGCTGAGACGGAACAGTCTCAAGTTCACCAAAAAGGCTGTTTTTCCCCCCCTATAATTCTGCAGAGATTTATTAGAAACAGTTAATGTGGCTCTTTCTTCTGGGGTCCCGGCTGCTTGCTGTGTAGCACCTCCAGGCTCCAGTTCATGGAGCAGGCACATCTTTATTCACTTTCTCAAGGGTCGGCTAAAATATCCAGAACTCCAACAATCAAAGCCACTTTGTAGGCAGCAGAATAGAGGAAGCACAGGGATGAGAGTGTGCCCTTTCTCTGTTAGAGAAGCTTCCCAGAAACACCACACAGTACTTGTACTTGTAGCCTGTTGGCCAAATCTTAATGAAGTGAATGAACCAAGCTAGAAGGAAAACTGAGAAACTGCCCTTCTCCACATACAAATCAAAACAAAATGAGGTTTTTTGTAAGTGAGGAGGAAAGGGCCAATGGTATTGGGATTGGGTTGGCAACCAACAATTTCCACCATGAGGAAACACAATTCATTTTATCTCCAGGTAGCACAAAGTTATCTAATATTTTATCAATCTGGCTTCATTAGCATAATGAGGTCTTTTGATCTTTAAAAATTTTTTTAACCAAATGCGTTTTATTTTGCTCAGCTGAGAAAAAGTTTTGAGGTGAGAAATCAAGGGCTGTTACAACTGATTAAGGTAGCCATCAAGGACCCACACCATTTTAGCTGGGTATTCCACCATTCTTTTTGTATTTATTTTTAAAATTTTATTTTATATTGTT